ATAGACTAGACTATAGACTAGACTATAGACTAGACTATAGACTAGACTATAGACTAGACTATAGACTAGACTATAGACTAGACTATAGATAGACTATAGACTAGACTATAGACTAGACTATAGACTAGACTATAGACTAGACTATAGACTAGACTATAGACTAGACTATAGACTAGACTATAGACTAGACTATAGACTAGACTATAGACTAGACTATAGACTAGACTATAGACTAGTCTATAGTCTAGTCTATAGTCTAGTCTATAGTCTAGTCTATAGTCTAGTCTATAGTCTAGTCTATAGTCTAGTCTATAGTCTAGTCTATAGTCTAGTCTATAGTCGTCTATAGTCTAGTCTATAGTCTAGTCTATATAGTCTAGTCTATAGTCTAGTCTATAGTCTAGTCTATAGTCTAGTCTATAGTCTAGTCTATAGTCTAGTCTATAGTCTAGTCTATAGTCTAGTCTATAGTCTAGTCTATAGTCTAGTCTATAGTCTAGTCTATAGTCTAGTCTATAGTCTAGTCTATAGTCTAGTCTATAGTCTAGTCTATAGTCTAGTCTATAGTCTAGTCTATAGTCTAGTCTATAGTCTAGTCTATAGTCTAGTCTATAGTCTAGTCTATAGTCTAGTCTATAGTCTAGTCTATAGTCTAGTCTATAGTCTAGTCTATAGTCTAGTCTATAGTCTAGTCTATAGTCTAGTCTATAGTCTAGTCTATAGTCTAGTCTATAGTCTAGTCTATAGTCTAGTCTATAGTCTAGTCTATAGTCTAGTCTAGTCTAGTCTAGTCTATAGTCTAGTCTATAGTCTAGTCTATAGTCTAGTCTATAGTCTAGTCTATAGTCTAGTCTATAGTCTAGTCTATAGTCTAGTCTATAGTCTAGTCTATAGTCTAGTCTATAGTCTAGTCTATAGTCTAGTCTATAGTCTAGTCTATAGTTTATACTCTAGTCTATAGTCTTGTCTATAATTCTGTCTATAATCTAGTCTGTATTCTAGACTATTCTGTGGACTTGCTCATGGAGTAGTCTATGGACTACTATATTCTTTTAACCAATTTGCTATGGACTGTTTCATGCTAGTTTTAGAGGTTAGTTCCAGCATTGAGCTCGCCTCTCCAGAAACATTCAACACTTACCTTTAACAACGGCTTTAATTCTGGACATATGAAAGAGTTACCAGCATAGGCGGCATCCACGTGTAACCATACTCCTGGGAATTTTGTAATTCTTGTCCAATTTCATACAAGTTATCGAAAGCACACGAGCCCGTAGTGCCCAAAGTTGTGGAAACAAAAAAGGGTACAAAACCCTGCAATTCATCTTCTTCCATGGCCTAAACCAATAAAACAGGGCGTTAACTTATAAGTTTTAATCTATAAGCTTATATTATACCTCAGCTATGGTTTCTCCTCTCAAACTAGCATTCTCATCAGGTTCTAAAATTCTCAACTTAACAAATGATATCATGGCCGCTTTTTCCACACAACTATGAGCTTCTTTGGAGCAATAAGCCATTAATTTCGATAGCAACTGACATTCCTCTACAAAAGGATGTTGAGACTTAAGACGTTTCAAAGCTTGAGCACGGGCAGCCAACATTGTGACCAATATACATTCAGAGGCAGAAGTCTAAAAGATTTACTTTTATATATTCAACAACAATTTCACGGCCATTTTTTTATTTGAACCCACCTGTATAACACCACCACCAGTACTACCCTCCTTTAAAGCCAAAAAGTGATCTGGCAAACCAATAGCCTTACCCAACCAATCCAAAACTATAGTCTCTAATTCCGTACAAGCAGGACTAGCGGCCCATGAAAATCCTATACAACCTATACCATCACCCAACATATCACCCAATATAGAAGGAAATGAATTGCCAGCCGGAAAGTAAGCATGAAATCTTGGATGCTGCCAATGCGTTACACCCGGCATAATTTTATCCTCAACATCCTGCATAATTTTATCCCAATCTTCGGGTTCCTTGGGTGCTTCAGCTTTATGTGATAATAACGTAATATTTTTGTTTAAAATCCATACTTTTATCCTCACAATAACTTACCTGGTAGTAGATGTCTCAAATAACCAGGTTCTACACTTGGTGTAACGCGACGCTCATTTAAAGTCTCTAGATATTGACATATATATTCCACCATTTCGGCACCACGTTTACGAAACTCATCGCTATCCATATTGATGAGTTTTTCAAAAGCTGAAAAATTTATGTTTTATTTTATTGCGAGCCTAATTTTGATAATTTTCAGAAAATATTGAACCATAGGATAAATTATAGAATTTATTCTACATTAACTAGCAAACATGGATGCATACTAATTCCACAGTAGATGGAAACTTGTTCCAGATCGTGTGCAGATTCTAGAACAGTAATTTTGAATAGTTACTAAATAGTTTTCAAGGATCGTGTTCTTACCATAGAAGATTTCGAAACAATTTCTTTGAACCGGGTGATAATATTAAACCCGTATCGGTCCTATTCCTTTTTCATGGAAACATGATATCAAATATAAAGGTATCATGTTTTTTGATGTTAAACATGAATTTTAAACGTACCCTGGAACATTTTTAGAATCTGTTCTAAAAAACTAGTAGTTCTAGAACGAGTTCAACCAACTAATTCTTTAATAGCATCCATGGAACTAGTGATTTCGAAATTACATCTAGAACCCGTTCTTTGGAACACGTTGTGATTGTAAAGCACTTGTAAAGAGTTTTCAAGAAACCAGCTAGTTATAATCATCAGTTATCTAAGGAAGTGGACTCCGGGAGTATTGAAAATGGAAAAAATATCACATTCAGCTGCTTGATTTGTTGGATATCCTTTGTGAAATATCTCATAACATAAAATAGTGACGGCTGAATGGTATCAAAATTTTCTCAATAACATTGAACCCATTATAGTTCTTCAACTCTTTCTTAAAATTGGTCCCAATCTTTACATTGCTAAAGAAAAATAAGCTGAGAATATAATTAGTTCCAGAACTCTTCTAAAGAAGTTATATATCAAGGGACTATATTTAAGAGTCTCTATCTTAAACAACAAAAGTTATCAGGAGAACAAAAAATAGTTTGTTTCGTTAGTTAGAGAAGATTTGGTGCAAAAGGAACCAAATTATTAAACAAGTAAGAGCGATATATTCGACTATGACGAATCTTATATACCCACCAAAGTTTTATACCCATAAGGTTCCCCTTATACATAAACAATGAATCTTCTTCGCTATCGTATTTTTAACCCAGTGATGAGCATTGAAGTCAATTTCGGAAGGGAATCTTATATGGGAAGGTAGAGTCAACTTGTATTTTTAAGAAAGAAATAAGTCCAATTTCTGAAGAGGGTCCTTCCGATCCATATGAAATTCGATAGAAAGATTGGTTTTAGCCAATACTGAGAGTTAAATTCATTTTCTGAAAGGGAAATAAGGAATACCCACCATCAAATCATTTCATTGATATTTTATCGCTATCGCATTTTTAACCCAGTAATGAGCGTGGAAGTCAATTTCGGAAAGGAATCTTTTATGGAGAGGTAGAGTCAACTTGTATTTTTTAGAAAGTAATAAGTTCTAAAGTCCAATTTCAGAAGAGGGTAGAATCAGTTATCGTCCGATGCTTGTGAAATTTGATAGAAAGATTGTTTTAAGCCAATACTGTGAGGGATAGGGTCAATTATAGACCAATCCTCTTAACATTTGTTGTATAATACTTCGTTGCGTTAAATTTCGTCGCTGTAATCGCATTTTTAAGTCAATAGGGCGTAAGGTCAATAATGGACCGATCCTCATAAAATTTAGTACAAAGATTTTGGTTCGTACAAAACAGGTTTATATCAAATTTTATTGCAATACTGGCATTTTAAAACAGTTATGACTGTTTAAAACTGCATTCCGGGGGGCCACTTGTATGAGAACGAAGAAAGCTGCAAATTTTAAATCTTTCCGTTTGGATTCTATAGTGGTTTCAAAAGACAGACGGTCGGACATGACTAGGTCGTCTTAAAATTTATTAATGGCCCACCATATATGTTTATATTTAAACTAATGATTCGATATGAAACAACCGGAATCTCGATTTTAAATATTTTGAGAGAAACTGGTAGATTTTGAAGAAATTTTTGGAAAAGATAAAGACGTATCTATAGACCTGTAGAGCTATAACTATTGAACTATATTCAATAGTCGATATATTCCATTAAGATTCCCTAGAACAAGTTTTTAGGGTGACAAATTCAAACAAAAATTACATAATTGGTATCAGAACCGTTCAAAGTAAAAAGTTTCTACTCCATTACCTTTCCACAAAACCAGTTCTAAAGGTGACAATTTCGAACAAAAATCATTGGTTTCATCGCAAAGGTTTCGCAAAAGTTTCTACTCCATTACCTTTCCACAAAATCAGTTCTAAAGTTGAGAATTTCAAACAAAAATCATTGGTCTCATCGCAAAGGTAATACAGTCAAGAACTAGTTATGGAACTAATACAATTTTTCCTGGGTAGATCAATTATTTCTTAGGTTTCTTTAACAATATCTAGATTGAAAAAATTATCAGAATTTTGTCATCAGGATCTTGATATTTAAAAATAGTTTTACTATTTTAACTAAATAATTCTTAGAAATTTGTATTTCCCAAATCTGTAGAATACAAATCGCAAATCGAAATGGTATTCAAAATAACTTTAATAGTTTTTAAATTTTAATATGTTTTTTTTTAGATTTTGAATTTCCAAACATTTTTAAAATTCAAATCCAAAGTGCATCTAAATTAGTAGAGTTGAAATAATATATTATTTATAATATTAAATATTTTAATATTTTAAACATCCTGCTATCTTTCCAATTATCTAATTAAATTATTAAATTAATTTGTTAAAAATTTTTAAACTTTTTAATCAAATTTATCATGATTTTTTTACTTTTTTTTAATTTTTTAATTTAACACTTACACTTTTTTTATTTAAACAAAAATAAAATAAATTTATTTTACTTTATTATTCTTATAGTAAATTGTATATTAATCCTTTCTTTTGAACACTCCGTATCCGTTTCCAATTTCCGTTAACCGTTAGAAGCTGACGACAAAACTTAACTGATCATCAGTATGACAATGTCTTATAAAAAAACCTCGGTATCCTTTTCCAGACAACATGTACCCTTTTAGGGAGATGTTAGAAAGGAAGTCATCTAATAGAATATTTAATACTGCAAAAACAATTATAACAACAACAACTACTAAAGGCAAAAAACAAGCAATATAGAAAACAGCAAAAATGACACCAACAACATTGGTAGCAGCAGCAGCAGCAATAAATAATTGAAATATTTGTGGTGCTCTACATCTAATACGAGTACCAATTTACTTTTTATGCTTTTTTTGTTTTTTCTATCTTTATCTATCATTTATTCTCTCCCTTTCTTACGTTCTTGGTATATTATTCACTAACCAACAAGTATGCAACCGTTTATTATTTCATCTATTTCTTCATTTAGACTTTCATTCAACCACAGCTAAACCAACTCGAGTGTTTGAAATATTCAAACATACAAATTCAACAATTTGCTTTTTTTTCTTCTTATATCCTTCGATATCATATGCATAGAGGGAAGAGGTTGATATGTTTTGTTTGTTATTCTGTTCGTATCATTCTGGAAATATTTGTCTTCAGACGATAGCTTGATGGTATGGAGTCTGATTAATAAATAGTTTATCAATAATAAATAATTTATAAAATTCTCATTCTTCCAAGGTGTCCTGATCATATCCATACATAAAAAAGTCCATTTAAAACATTTTTTGAATTAACCCTGACTAATGTTGAACCTCACCGAAAGTGAGGCTATTTGTCAAAAACATTTTACTTAGACATATTGATCCAAGCAGAGTCTCCACCACTGCATCAACTTCGTTATAAAACACATTATATGTTCCAAATAATTTCTACCAAGAGGCGTGATATTCAAGATCCCTTTCCATGAAAAACGGTACCACAGCATTCGTTGAAATATACTTTTACGAAAAAGTAGCTTAGATCCGTTTAAAGTTCAAGCGAGAGCCTTGATAAATGGTCGACGTAACTAACTAACTAACTAACTAACTAACTAACTAACTAACTAACTAACTAACTAACTAACTAACTAACTAACTAACTAACTAACTAACTAACTAACTAACTAACTAACTAACTAACTAACTAACTAACTAACTAACTAACTAACTAACTAACTAACTAACTAACTAACTAACTAACTAACTAACTAACTAACTAACTAACTAACTAACTAACTAACTAACTAACTAACTAACTAACTAACTAACTAACTAACTAACTAACTAACTAACTAACTAACTAACTAACTAACTAACTATCTAACCAACTACCGACTTTTTGACATTTTAAATTGTATTTGGAACACATTCATGGCAAATAACTCAATTCTTACAAATTACTCACTGCTCCAGATTTTCACTGCCCTTTCTACATGCTCTACATTCTGCTGAATCCGCACGTCCAATTTTACTAACCTTAGACTTACTCATTTGGAGTAGGCTTCTCATCCTGCTATCGTTAGATTCACCTCATAGGATTTTTGTGGTTCCACCGTTTCATCATTCCAAGAATTATGGAATTCTTTCACCCATACATTTAATACTATCCTTGTTGCGTCAAATAGTTTGCGTTCGTCAGTTTAACTAAAACGAGCTCCCTTCCTTTTAAAGACGAGTAGCCTGGTTCCCCTCGAATACGATCTTAGATATAACTTTATCAACTGATATACATATGTATCAGGTGAACCTGGAGGTTACACATAGTTGAAAATTATTGTCTTTTTTCTCTGATCTGAAACAAATCACACTGGACCTTAAGGGTTCTCAAGTAATATTCTATGTCGCAAAATAGTATTAAAACAATTCGGTGTAAGCTTTTAAAAAATAAACACGCACTTTTTCTTTCGTCATAAAATATTTTATGAGGGATGATTAAAAAACAATCCAAACACCAGCACACAAATGTTGGCAAATTCTCTTGTTTTTTTTTTTTCTATAGCTAGCGACTAACTAAAAGAAGTTTATTATGAAATTTTTAAACGACAAAACAGAATTATCACTAGCATCATAGTCGTCATTGTCATCATCATCATCAACACCATCATCGTCTTTGTCACCCATTAAGGAATTCGTGAAAATATGTTGAGGCGGAAAATGCGTTGAGGATAAAAATACAACCGAACAACAATTTGCTTAGAACACACAACTGAACTCTCAACACAACACATCTCAATACAATTCAATTCAATCCAACAATCCAACACTTAAACGTTGCTTCCCAAACGTTATGGCATGAATATCTTACATTGTTGAGAGTGTCATATTGTGGAGGTGTTTGGACTGAATGACGGACTCACTGTCTTAAAGGGAATCCTTTTTTCTTATACGTTTATGTTTTTAAATTGTTGTCCTCATTTCAATTTTTGACATTCAAAATGTGTTTTGACAATTTGAGATGTTTTGCAGCAGCAACAGCATCACATTATGAAGGGATACATGTGGGCATAATATTCTTTGATAATGTATTTAAGAAACGGGATAATTATTTTAATTTCAATTTATTTATTGAGTTTGACACAGTTGAATTTAAATGCCAACAAGTTGTTTCACAAAATGTCTGCAAATTCATTCATGACTATTTTTATCTCTCGTTCATTCGGTTTTTAAGGATTTAAATGATAAAGATGACAGAATATATCCTCTTTTGGAAATAGACGTTTTAATAAGTGTTTTATATGCATAACTCATACTTCAATACATACTTAAATATTTAAATATATGTATGTATATATGTAAGTACATTAACTGACAAGTAAGTAGATTTTGGATATGATTAGATATGTGCTATATTGTGTTTTTATTTAATGTGAAAACACTTTTATCAATTAATTGTAATTCTAAAAATAAACCATAAGTACTGAATTGATGAGTTTAATACAGTACATTGGGGATTAGTGACAGCTTTTGCTAAAGAAGCTAACAAGTAAAGTTATGTTTACATCTTTAACATAATACATAGTAATTCATCGAAATATTCTTAATAACATTCTAAGAGCGAATTTCTTACTAACCAGTTAAAGAAGGCTTAAGTTGTTGTTAGTTTTAACTCGCAGACTTTAACCGATGATTGTGTTTTTTGATAATGGATTTAAGAGCAGTTAACTTTGTTTTAGTATTGCCAACTTTTCAGTCAAAACCGTAAACAATGAACAGCTGTTTTTTGCAAATATTACTTTGAAAATGAAATGTAAAAAATTAAATTAAGAATTAAAACAATAAAAATATTGATAAAACAAATCAGAAAATTGCTATTAACTTAAAAAATAAAAATTTTCTTATTCCGAATTGCTAAATTTGATAGTGTTTTCTCAATTATAACTTATGTAGGTAAGACGATATAGTCACGTCCGTCCTTCTGTCTGCCAGTCTTTTAAAAATACGATAGAGTCTGAACAAAAAGAGCTAGAGGGCTAAAATTTTCCACAAATATTTTCTATTTATCCAGGATGTTTGTTATTGAAGATGATCAAGGATTTCACCTAGCTCTCATACAAGTACACGCCCCGAAAATAGTTTAAACTGTGTTAACAATAAAAGTTTAGTGATAAAATTAGAAAATGACTTCAACTTCCATTACTAGCTTCAGTATTATTACGGAAACCAAAATCTCTTAACCAAATTTTTTGAAGATCACTTACATTTTTCCCTGCCCCTTGATAAAATTCCCTTTACAAAAAGACTTCAACATGCATTACTGATTAAAAATTCCATTATGGAACTATATCCCTTTAGCAAATATTTCGAGGATCGGTACTCAATTGACCCATATAACACCTACTTAAAACAGTTTTTATACCCACCATCAATAAAGATAGATCATAGAGCCACAAAAGTGTATATATTCTGGGTTCTTATTAAATTCCAAGACGATCTAACCATGTTGAAAGCACGATAGAGTCCGAACGGAAAGAGCTAGAAAGTTGAAATTTTCCACAAACACAAATATTTAGGTAAGATTTGTTTGGTATTGAAAATGCGAAATATCGGTCCACGTCCCATACAAGTGGCCCCCCGAAAAACAGCTTTAACAGTCGTAACTGTTTAAATAACTTTCATATGATCCAAATTCTCTTTATAAGGATAATTTACCCTACCCCCATATATGATCCCCTTCCGAAAATTACTTCAACGCTCATTACTACCTTAATAATAAGAGTATAGCGATTAAATTCGACATAAGCAAGTTTCTTATGAGTTAAAATGTATCTATCAAATTTTATGAGGATCGGTCCACAATTGACTCTACTCCCCATATAAGGCCCCCCTCAGAAAATGACTTTAACGCACACTACTGACTTAAAAAAAAACGAGTATAGCTCTGAAATTATACATAAGTAAGTTTCTTACGAGCACAAATCTCTATACCGAATTTTATGAGAATCGGTCCATAATTGACCCTACCCCCATACAAGGCCCCCTTCAGAAAATGACTTTAAGTCTCATTACTGGCTTAAAAATGCCATAGCTATAAATTTGATATACAGATGTAAGTTTCTTACAAGCCAAAATATGTACCGAATTTTATAATTGACTCCGATTGACCTACGACATATGTTCGTGGTTTAACAGTTGGACAAAAATACGGTTTGATGGTGGTTATATAAGATTCGGCATAGTCGAATATAACACTCTTACTTGTTCTATTCGTTCCAAATGTTGATTAATATGATAGTGGTGGAGAAAGATAATCTGTTTTTAAAAATAAATCACTCTTTAAAATTCGAAAGAACTTGATCCATAACATACTTTGATAGTTTCATACCTATAACACGTTTTTTATACATAGCTAAATTCTTATGTTGAATTAAATAATTCCAATATTTTTTAACAATTGATTGGAGAAAAACTTATTCTCTGAAAGAGACTTAATATGATCTCCATAAAATTTCATCAAATGAATGAATATTTCCAAGAATATTTAACAAAATCTGTAATCATAAATTCAACGTATAAATAATATGTATTAATTA